GCTTTCCATACGTTTTTAGACGCGATATGTGAACGGATCTACGATCTAGATCTACGGGTGATGCGCGCGCATTTTAATTAAAATTTTGCTAGAAATCATGTTTGTAATATATGTTTACCGACAATGGTGTAACGTCGATTAATACCGATACCGTTTTATCACCCAGCCCTAAATTGCATGGTACCTAACTTTTCTGCAGGATTTATTTTTGCTACAAAAGAAGTGATAGCGCCATCTACAGGGCATTGAATGAGCTATATCTTGTGCGTTTTGGCCCCCAAGGCTACTTTACATGAATATGAGTGCATTAGCAGGAAATTTCTGAATCGCAGGTGTTTGAGATGAGGATGGCTGCTGCCAGCGATGAGACTGAAACCAGCACATCAGTGCAAGTAGGTTTTGACTATTTCATTTTACTTAATATTATTTTATTTATCCGTGATATTGAAGAGAACTTGTTGAAGGATATTGGTTTATCTATGCCCATTTGAGCACTTGAGCTTAACTGAGACTTGAGTGTTTGTAGAGTAGCTTTTGTAAGACTGTTCACAGCCACTTTGGAAAATTGGAACACTAAAAAGTATCCATAATTTTGTAATCGATTACTGTTGGTACCATAGTCTTCCGACAAATATGATTAAATTGTGGATAATATCGTAGGCCTATATCTATAAGAAAATTACAAAAACAACATACCACTCTGAAACGGCCTGCGAAATCCGTACTTGCAAAGTCCGTACTTGAAATCCGTTCTGCAAATCTGCCTCGAATTGGTTTGAAATTGACGCCATCGTTAATATTAACATCTGAGTAGGCCTACATCTATGATCTGAGTAGAGCTCGCGGTTATGAAGGAGATATATCCAGCTGCAGACCCGCAGCACCACCAGTTTCAGAACCCCAGTGCCAGAACCCCGAGATATATCCAGCTGCAGACCCGCAGCACCACCAGTTTCAGAACCCCAGTGCCAGAACCCCAGCGCCAGAACCGGAAGTGAGGGAGGGGCGGAATTATTTACAATGACACATTTTTGCAAGTAGGCCTATTTAAAAATATTTAAAATGGTTGCACCTTTTAAATAATATTTAGGGTATGTTTTTATTACACAGTGAGTCACTGCTCGTTGTATGAACTATAACTGGTATGTGACAAATAAAGAGCAAGACAGCGCTCGTGTTGTTCGAAGACGTCAGAGTGCGCGCGCGCGGCCAGGGCTCTCTCTCTGCTCGTTAAGCGCCCTGTCACGCGCAGCAGTCATTCTATTCTACATCACTCACCGATCAAAATAGGCTTTGGCGGGACAAAAATTTGCTTTGGCGGGACAAAAATTTGCTTTGGCGGCCGCCAAAAAGCGGATGATCTGACGGGTTTTAGAATACAACCTGAAACTAAAAAACAGACCCGACCTCTATTTGAGGCCGGCCTTATATTTACCCAGACCTGCAGCCACACCAGGCATGTAAAGAGACAATCGTCTATTTGGGACTCGGCTATTATTTGAAGTACGGTACATTTTTATTGTTTCTTTTAAAACAATGCCGGATTTTCTCTCTCTTTTTAGATTTTTGACATTATTTTACATAAAGAAAAATGCATGCTGCACATGTTCTTGTGAAATAAAGTATATTTTATATAAAATGACCATAAGTTTCAAGCATTATTTTTCACCATCATGATCAGGAAGTAACTCTCATAATACAATGAAACGGATAACTATATAGAATTATATTACACAAAATCAACGTTTTAAAATGCTTATTGTACTATACCTTAATGTATCATTATAATATGTATAAAGTATGACGCTTCGTGTGTAATAATTCCGTTTCGTGTCTAAGCAAACTACGCTCCAAAACGTTAGGTGGCGTTACTCGGTTTAGAACGTAAGCTCGGCCCCTCACTTCCGGTCCTGGCGCTGGTGTTAGAACGTAAGCTCCGCCCATTACTTCCGGTTCTGGCGCTGGGGTTCTGAAAGTGGTGGTGCTGCGGGTCTGCAGCTGGATACTATTGGCTCGTTAAGCGCCCTGTCACGCGCAGCAGTCATTCTATTCTACATCACTCACCGATCAAAATAGGCTTTGGCGGGACAAAAATTTGCTTTGGCGGGACAAAAATTTGCTTTGGCGGCCGCCAAAAAGCGGATGATCTGACGGGTTTTAGAATACAACCTGAAACTAAAAAACAGACCCGACCTCTATTTGAGGCCGGCCTTATATTTACCCAGACCTGCAGCCACACCAGGCATGTAAAGAGACAATCGTCTATTTGGGACTCGGCTATTATTTGAAGTACGGTACATTTTTATTGTTTCTTTTAAAACAATGCCGGATTTTCTCTCTCTTTTTAGATTTTTGACATTATTTTACATAAAGAAAAATGCATGCTGCACATGTTCTTGTGAAATAAAGTATATTTTATATAAAATGACCATAAGTTTCAAGCATTATTTTTCACCATCATGATCAGGAAGTAACTCTCATAATACAATGAAACGGATAACTATATAGAATTATATTACACAAAATCAACGTTTTAAAATGCTTATTGTACTATACCTTAATGTATCATTATAATATGTATAAAGTATGACGCTTCGTGTGTAATAATTCCGTTTCGTGTCTAAGCAAACTACGCTCCAAAACGTTAGGTGGCGTTACTCGGTTTAGAACGTAAGCTCGGCCCCTCACTTCCGGTCCTGGCGCTGGTGTTAGAACGTAAGCTCCGCCCATTACTTCCGGTTCTGGCGCTGGGGTTCTGAAAGTGGTGGTGCTGCGGGTCTGCAGCTGGATACTATTGGTATGAAGGGGCGTGACATTTCCCGAACACGCTCTATTAAGCGCTGCCAACGGCTCTGAGCGCTGCCAATCACAACACACTGGGCCAACTAACAAATCAGCACATTTCGTATATCGGAAGGACGGGTTTCATTGAAATCGACGTGTTCGAAACAGAGGAGCTGTAATAATGTAACATGTGAAAAATAATGAGTTTTTTTGAACAATCAAGCATGAAAACATTCTAGTTCACCCCAAAAACAAAATAACCCCTTTAAGATATGTCGACCTTGATTTATTGCAATTTTGAGGTGTATTTTGATTTTAGAAAATAAACATGTAAAATACTTAAGTACTGTTAAAATCAGATACTATAAGGCCAGGTTTCACAGACAGGGCTTAGATTAAGCCAGGATTAGGCCTTAGTACAATTAAGGTAGGCCTATTTAAGTAGCTTTTAATGTCCCTTAGAAAAAAAAAAAAGATTACTGGTGGTGTGCATCTTGAGACAAAAAAAACACAACAATACTGACATACAAGTCAGTGCAAGTTGCTTTCAGTTAAAACAGCTCAAACATGCATTTTAGTCTGGGACTAGGCTTACGCAGTCTGTGAAATGGGGGATAAGACTTTTGTTCGTAATTTAAGTTGTATTAGAATTGGTGACTTGTAACTTGTAATGTCAGTTTCACTATAAGATAGGCTATCTGTACTTTTACTCAAGTATGGTTTTCAGGTATACCTCTGCCATTCAACCACTCAGAACATCTTAGCAATCAAACAATAATGACCTGACAACCGCCCAGAACACAGTAGCATCAGCAGTGGGTTTTGTGCATGGACCACTGCATCAATGAAACATTAATTTCATCCACAGTGAAATGTGTATACTGATTGGTGAAGCATTTTGCATGTTAAATTGGATAAATATATTTAATCATTTGTCATTTGCCATTCGTAACTTGATTCGTGCTTTGGCTCATTTGTGGTCTGACATTGCGAATACTCAAACTGAAACAAATCACTCAGAAGCATCAAATGATTTATAGAATTTCACCAAATTCAGTGCAACCAATTGTGAAAGAAGTCATTTCAGTGTCAGGGACATGTAACAGCAGAAGCTAAAGACAGGAGAGAGTTGAGGGTGCTGCCACAGCTTGCAATAGCTCTCATTAGCTCTGTTACTCAAAGGCAGTGCAAAGCTTTGAGAGTTTGAAGCATATACTAGACTGCCTTATTTCATACACCAGCTCTCAAACCTTGTTTCCACGTTCTCTCTCTGCTAATTTCTGGATGAATCATGAGGAGAGTTAAAAGATGAAACACTTCTTCCTCCACTCCGTGAGAGATGGTCCTCAGTGCCTGTGTTTTCTCAAAGGCTGGATTAAACAAATCAAAACAGAGCCATGAGCCTCTGTGGATCTCTTTCCATTTATTTTCATAAGAGCTTTCACCATAAGACAGACCATTGCTCTTAAACTGTTCTCTGAATCTGTCGCCTCTTCAAAGGACCAATATGATGAATCACAGTGCATTACAAACATGATTTCTAGCAAAGAATGAATCCTAGTAAAATATTGCTCTAGTCAGGCATGTTTCATGGCTCTAATTACGATGAATACAGTGGACTGAGCACCACAACAAATCTGCTGCGTCAGATTTTGTCAGGTTGAACATTTAAGCCTGTGTCAAGAGATTGTGAAACACTGCCATCTCCTGTAGATCTGAGCCCTCTTAAGACATCCTTTAGAGATAAATTTTCACTTCTCAGCCAATAATGCATATGGTTCAGCAATTATACAGCACTGTCATACAGTATGTAGCCTATAGGCTATAGCCAGACCTTCTTTTCTGTTTACGGATATGAAGTCAATACAATGCACTTAATATTACAGACTATTGAATCAAGGTAAGACATGTATTTGCTTATGGAATGCTATTTACATTTTTAAACAAAAATAATTTGCAGTGCAGTGCAATAGATGTCTTATATACATATTCAAAATTAAGACAATAAGTATTTCAGCACTTTCTTGATTGTCAAACATTGCATCATGTTCAAAGTTAATGTGATGAACAAAACCTGTGGGAACGTGAGGAGAACGGGCGTCATACGTCCACTAAAATTCACATTGCAAAAAATAAAAATAAACGAGAAAAGGTCAGCATCATTTTCACTGCCCACTGATTTTGATTTTTGTATCCCACACACACACACACACACACACACACAATAGGCTACTTCAGAGACTGTGTTCTCACAGATATTATATAATTATATTTTCAAGGTACCCTCCTTTATGTCTTGAATCCAAGCGTAGCTGCCGTGATTTTGCCGTTAAGTTTGAAGTTCTAAGTCATTTTGTCGACAGTATCCCACTTTGAAACAACAGAGCAAACGTCAATGAGCACATAGGCATCAGTATGGTTGTTCTCCAGCGGGTGGCACTGTTGCACAGATCAGAGGCGCAGCAGTGTATGTTGACTCCCGGCAGCTCCTCCGTGTGGCAGTGTCGGGCTGTGGCACAGCCACTGGTCAGCATGACTCCCAATGCAACTGCAGCAACATAAACAAAACAGTGTTTTTGAGAAACCATATGCTGGGTTACACAGAATTAACTTCATAAGGATTTAATTTGATTACATGATTGTAATGCAGGTCGCAATAGAACTATCGAGTTGCTAGTTGTAACCTGGAGGGGATTCAGCATTTTTGAGCCATGGGTTCATGGGTTAAGAATATCCTCTGTGTTTTTAGAATGGCGTGTTTTGAATTTATGAGTAGAATTAATGCCTGTGGTTAAAGGAGTAGTTCACTTTTAAAAAAACTTTTGCTGATAATTTACTCACCCCCATGTCATCCAAGATGTCCATGTCTTTCTTTCTTCAGTCGAAAAGAAATTAAGGTTTTTGATGAAAACATTCCAGGATTTTTCTCCATATAATGGACTTCCATGGGAACCAGACGGTTCAAGGTCCAAAAGACAGTTTCAGTGCAGCTTCAAAGGGCTTTAAACGATACCAGACGATGAATAATTATCTAGCGAAACGATCGGCCATTTCAAAAATAAATAGAAAAGTTGAAGTTTAAAAAGCACAAATGATACACGTTCGTGACTCTCCTGCTCGAACTCGTTCATCAAAATGAACGAATCTTTTTTCGAGTCATTTCGTTCATTTCGTTAGTCGTCTGGTGTCGTTTAAAGCCCCTTGAAGCTGCACTGAAACTGTCTTTTGGACCTTGAACCGTCTGGTTCCCATGGAAGTCCATTATATGGAGAAAAATCCTGGAATGTTTTCATCAAAAACCTTAATTTCTTTTCGACTGAAGAAAGAAAGACATGGACATCTTGGATGACATGGGGGTGAGTAAATTATCAGCAAAAGTTTTTTTAAAAGTGAACTAATCCTTTAACATTGCAAGAAGTGATTTGTGTTTTCTTCTACAACATAAAATACATGCAGTCAGACATGAATTATGAAGTAGGCCTAACTGTTAAAAAGATCATTTACTAAGACATTGGCTGGTAGCCTATACGAACTACAGGCCAACAACTACCACAAGTACACATTCTTGATAAACTGTTTGACAACTGTATGTCTGTAGCAATTTATTAGTGACTTATAGTTAAAAAAAAATGTTGCTTCAAAATTCATGTTTAATGCATCTCTGTGTGTAGTTTATATTACAGAACAAATCATGTAAGTAATGTTAACCACAGACATGATTTAATCAGTAAACGCAAATTAGCTTTCTGGCATGGTGTACAAATTGATGTCACGACTGAACATCATGATGCGAACAATGTGCTTTATGTAATTTAAATATAATATAATATAATGAAATATTAAGAATATAAATATTATATAAAGATCTAAACATAATGCTATAATCAAAACTTTTCACGATTAGTATCTTGTCTAGAGCTTTTATCTAGAGCTGTAATTGTAAAAACGTGCTAAAAGTTTTCGAGAGAGTTCCACATGTAATGCTTATTTCATATGCAAAGATGTTAGCCAGTCACAGCAGTGGGCCTTTACACTGAAGTCGAACAGCAGACACGCCCCTTCAAACAGAGCGTTCAAATCAGAGGGCATCATTATTAAGTGCACCCCAGGAAACATTATAAAATAATGCAGTTCATGACCCCTTTAAGCTGTTTTTGAAACCAGAATCTTGATGCTGGGTGGTTGCTGTCACCAAATGGTTGCGGGTCAAAGGTTGATTTAACCTGAGTGTCTGAATTGTAGGTAAGGTAAGAGGGAATCGTACAGTTGAATGGGATACACCGCAAAAACTGGGCTGGCCGATGATGAATGTAAAATGTCAAGTCAAGTCAAGTCATTTCATTTATATAGCGCTTTTAACAATGTAGATTGTTCCAAAGCGGCTTTACAGTGATAATAGGAAATTAAAGTAACAGATTGTTTTGGCTTTATGGCAGGTCTAGAATAAAGTTATTTTCCAGTTAAAGTTAGTTTTGATTGATTCACTTCCGTCGCAACGATCATTAGTTATTAACTTAGGGGCCGCTAACACGACACCGTTTTAACAGAAAACTCTTAAGTTCTCTCTACGCAAACTTTAAAAACGCGAACCTGTGAGAATGCTGATAGCGTGCACATGCGTATTTAGAGTTCATTCTATGCGCGTTTGAATATATGTGCGCAGGCATGTAATCCTTCCCTAAAAAAACAACCCTCAACAAACTACTTGTCTGCCCTTAAAATTTATACAGAATTGTATCGCTTCGGCGTAGCCACGTGTACCAGAATTATCCCGACAACGATTATCTGTACAGAGGTAAAGGGAAGGAGGCCTTCACAGGGAGGGACTAGTTGACACTTCAGGACTGTGTTGTGGTCGCATCCAGACGCAGGTCCTTCATCAGATCTGGATACGGTCTGGATCCGGCGGACTGCGGTAAACCTCGGGATAAACAAAGAGACTAATATTAGCGTAGATGCCATTCTTCTTATGATGTAACGAGTACATCAGGATTTAGGGGAAGTGTTGTCGGTTCCGGCTGACCTAATCTATGCAGCCTAACATTGAATTATAGAAGTCTATAATGTGTTATGTGTATGCTAGGTCAAAGAGATGTGTTTTTAGTCTAGCTTTGAACTGGCAGAGTGTGTCTGCTTCCCGGACAATGTTAGGAAGACTGTTCCAAAGTTTTGGTGCTAAATAGGAAAAGGATCTACCGCCAGCAGTAGATTTTGATATTCTAGGTATTATCAACTGGCCGGAATTTTGAGATCGCAATAGACGTGACGTACTATAATGCGTTAAGAGCTCGCTCAATTACTGGGGAGCAAAACCATTTAGTGCTTTGTAAGTAACAGCAATATTTGAAAATGTATACAATGTTTAATAGGGAGCTAATGCAGTGTTGACAGAACCAGGCTAATATAGTCACACTTCCTGGTTCTTGTAAGAACTCGAGGCTGCTGCGTTTTGGACCAGCTGCAGTTTGTTTATTAAGCGTGCAGGGCAACCACCCAGTAGAGCATTACAATAATCTAGCCTTGATGTCATGAACGATGAACTAACTGTTCTGCATTTGTCAATGAGAGCATATGACGTAATTTAGAAATATTTTTAAGATGAAAAAATGCGGTTTTACAGATACTATTCATGTGACTTTCAAATGAAAGATTGGTATCAAAGAGCACACCCAGGTTCCTAACCGACGACGAAGACTTGAAAGAGCAGCCATCAAGTGTTAGAAAGTATTCTAGGTTATTACGTGAGGAAGTTTTTTGTCCAATAATTAGAATCTCTGGGGTTTTTTTTCAGAATTAAGTAGTAGGAAATTACTAGTCATCCAATTTTTTATATCAGCTATGCATTTCCGTTAATTTTGTGAATTGGTAAGTTTCGTCAGGGCGTAAAGAAATATAGAGCTCCGTATCATCAGCATAAGAGTGAAAACTAATGCCATGCTTCCTAATGATATCTCCCAAGGGTAGCATGTACAGAGTGAACACTAACGGTCCTAGTACTGAGCCTTGTGGTATGCCATACTGAACTTGTGATAGATAAGACATCTCTTTATTTACTGCTATGAAAAATTAAAAAAATGTAAATTGTTGCAGAGTAGCACCTCTGGCAACCTTTGTGAATTTACAGTTCTGTAGGCGGACAATTATGGACAGTGATTCCGGTAAGAGAATCAGGCGCGGGAGAAGTATATCTTCGTCAAACTTCTCTTTAATAACACTTGTCAGGCAGTAAGTGACATCCATTTACAGTCTCAGGATGGTAGGTAAAGTTATATGATGTAATCATGTTGTGTTGTGGTCTGTAGAATATATAAATAAAGGAATACAGTATGAATACAATATCTCTGTACACAATTTACCTCACAAGGTATCAATAACTGGCTAAATAGTCATCACAAATGAATACTCAACTGTCAGATAACAAATAAACATAATAAGATAAACTTCAAATAAACAGTATGACGCAGCATATAATAACAACGTGATCATAGGATTAGCGTCTCTCTGCGATCGTCATTTGCATATCGCGATCGTCATTTGCTAAACATCTGACATTCACAATGACAAATACAAAGTGTTGACTAAACAATATTCACATAATTACTCACATTTGTTGCATGAACGCACAACATTGAACGATATCTGGCAGAGAACAGCTGGAACTGGCTATTGCATCAGTCTGCTGGAAGTAGCAACTATGATATAAGTCCGTCAGGAACCGCTGCCTGTTTTCCGTTCCGGGACGGACTTTCTGACACAGCCGCCCCCAATTATCAGTCAGGATAATTGTATTCCTTAAGAAAGGCCGTCTGGAGGGTCTGTATCATTATTCCCCATTGGAGGAAGTGGAATCAGTTTCACGACAGGGCGTGTGTACATCTTGCCTTTGACTTGAACTTTGGCTGTACGGATTCTCCCGTCAGCCCCTGCGTAGGTTTCTGTCACTGTACCCACAGGCCATAGCGCTCGTGGGAGTTGATGGTCAATTAGGAGTACCACTTGTCCCACTGCCATCTCTTTGCCATCTGATCTCCATTTCTGTCTACCCTGTAGTTCTGGTAAGTAGCAGCGAATGAAAGCGGTCCAGAACTGGTCGGCCAATACCTGACTGTGTCTCCACCTGCGTTTCCCCAAGAGTTCGTCAGAGTCGTAAAGGACTTGTGGTAATGAAGCATCGTGACGTCCCATGAGTAACAGGTTAGGAGTCACGGGATCAGGGTCTGCAATGTCCAATGAGACATAGCCAAGGGGCTTGGAATTGAGTATGCCCTCAACTTCCACTAGCAAAGTCTGCAGAACAGATTCAGGCACGGATTGTTCCCATAGAATGACTCGTAAGGCAGTCTTAATTGATTTCACCTCTCGCTCCCATGTCCCGCCAAAGTGAGGGGCACTCAGTGGGTTATAGCGAAACTGGATCTGCTGTTTAGCCAGTTGTTCCTGCAGCTCAGGAGCCATTCGACGAAAGGAGTCTTTTAACTCGTGATAGCCTCCAGTAAAGTTAGTGCCATTGTCACATAGAATCTCGAAAGGCTTTCCTCTACGGGCTAT